TATTCTGTCCAACAGGGCTGTCCTTTTGGACAATGGATGGCCTACAGGAACTCCACAGCCCAAAGATCCCATCCTGGAGTCAGCAAACCCCACAGCCTGCGCGTCACAGTGGCCTTGAGTGCTGTGGTGGCTGAAGGCCTTTGCACTCAAAAATGGCTTCAAGGCTGTTTTCTTACAAGGTGGCAGGGAGAGGGTGGCCAGAGACCTGAAACAGAGGAGATGTTGAGGGACTTCCAGGGGACCAAGTGTGGGGTCCAACTCCACCGTCCCTCAGGCCAAGCTGGGAACACCGTGTCCCCCTGTGTAGGAGGACATGGAAGAGGCAAGGGCAGGGGACAGAGATGAAGCCTGGGGAGGGGATAGGAGATGGGTCAAGCTAAACCCTTCTGTGCAGGCTGCTGTCCTGATAGGGACCTGACTGGAGAGCCACAGTGTGACAAAGCTGTGCTCAGGCTCACCCCAACCTGCAGCCTCCAAAGCAGGAGAAAGCACAAAACAAGAACTAAGCTCAGACTGGGGTCTCCACAAGGCACGACTCTCCCAAGCACCAGCCCCACCCCACCAGCCCTCAGGGGCAGAGGACGGTCTGGACTGCGGCCCCAGGGGGCGTGTGTTCCTAACCATCTCAGAAAAAAGTCCTGACAGAGGTCTCCTAGATACCCAGATAAACTCCACAGTCATCACTGCCACAGCCCAAACATCAGGCCACCCTAAATAAGAAACTAAGAACCTCAGGAAGGCCAAAGGAATGACAAAGGAGCAGAGGGGTCATGTGAACGGATTCCAAACATGTTCCAGCCCCAACATCTGGAGCTGCAGTTAAGGACAGGCAGGTGCTGGTAAAACAGCATGGATTCCAGCCAACAGAGAGCCAGGTCCAGTCCAAGCTTCTCAGCCAGAGCAACTGAAAGGTCTGCCCTGGCTCTGATGCAGGCAGGGGCCTCTCATACCACACAATGCCCAGGGCCACTGGGCTGTGCCCAGCAGGGTGCACAGATTGCCATCACTTGGGGGGTCGGTGAGCTGTGACCATGGCCCAGCAGGGTGCAGGTAATGGCTCCCTCCACGCTCCATGTTCTGAAAAGGAGCACCAAAGTGATCTGTGTGGGCAACAAGGGCCACACAGATGGGGTGGAGTGACTTTTAGCTGGCACACTTGTCCCAAGGAAGGCCACCTCATGTCCTTTGGTCCCGCCCTTCATTGTCCTGCCTCAGCCTGGCCCGACTCACAGGGAATATGGACATTCCTCTCCCAGTCCCAGCCTGGTCTTTCAGCCTGCACGTCCTGCTCAGCATCCAGCAGCCCCTTGGAGGAGAAGCTCGATTCCATCTTGCAGATGACAGCCTGAGGGCCAGCACGGGGACAGCATGAGCACAGAGCAGGGGTCTCCACCGAGATCAGTTCAGCTGTCCCAGCCCTTCAGGCTTGCTGCTCACACCTGCCCCCTGTTTCCCAGACTCAATCCTCTGAGGCCTCCTCCACCAGGTGTTCATGGCCTGACTTTCTGTTTCCAATCCCTTGAACCACAGGGCAGGCTACATCCGTGAGCTTCCTAAGTGGCCACATTTGAAGACAAGCAGGATACTCACCTCGCAGGAAGTGGCTCCAGGCCGCAGCCCCCATTCCCACCCGGCAGCAGCATGTGGGTGCCCACCTTGAACTTCCCCATGGGACATCCACACTGGTACTGGCTGAGTGGATTTTTGATAATGCGGTGCCTGAGGGGTCCAGCATCCTGGGGAGAAGGCCATCACCCTTAGTACCCACAAGGGGCCTGAGGCAGAAAAGTCAGGGGGCTGGCTCCCCCATACTCGGGGCTGTCTCACTGCAAATGAGCCTTACCCGATAAAGAAGCCCAGGAGAGAAGAAGCACAAAATCACCCCACGAAAACCACACTCTGCTCAGGTGATGGCAGCAAGGCCGTCGACCTGCTGCTGTGTCCGAGAGGCTGCTGGGACACCATCCCCAGCCTGTCCTCCCATGCCAGTATCATCCAATCCCTAATGCTACAGATGCAGAGAAATGGACCCCAAAGCCACAGAGCTGGCCAGAGATCAAACCTGGTCTTACGACTTAATTATGACTCTCTCCTTTGGGCTCACGTTCAAGGTCAGACCTTCCACAGAAGCCTCTGGGAGAAATGTGCTAGCTTAGAGGTGTGATAAACATCAACTGGGTACCTATCCCCTGCCTTCACCTGTGTCAGGCCCCACACATAGGCTGAGAGGAGGTAAAACAAGCTGCAGCCCCTGTTACCCCCACATCATCCTCTATGTAGACCCCAGGTTAGGCAGGAAGCTTGCATGCTGACTGGGAAGGCAGTGGTCTTGAAGACACTTCCATCCACACAGATTGTCCTGGGTTCCCCAGTTCCCATTGGTCTCTAGAACCTGCCCACCTGCCTGGCATTTGAAGGGCCAGCTTCTAAAGGACATCCACCTGGACGGCAGCACAGAGCAGCTGTCCAGGATGCAACCCAGCACTTGCCTTGGCACCTTAGCTTGAACAGGTCCTGGTGGTCTCCTGGGCCCCACCCCCACAGTCAGAGGGCAGAGTGGGGGTAGGGAGCAGCCTCAGTCATCACAGCTACCCTAGGCTGAGCTGCCTCGTGGTGCCCTCTGCAGAGGATGCTGGGACCTGGCTCCAGCTACAACTGGTCACGGCTCTGGGGTTGCAGCCACAGAAGGAAGGCGTGGGTGACGTGGACAAGTGGGAGACAAGTGAGGACCCTCAACCCCACAAGTTTCCTAAAGTGCAACCCTTGAGCCTCCCCAGCTTGGGGCACAAGAGGGTTCAGATTTCAGTAGGCAGAACAGCACCCCCAAAGGCAGCATAGCTGAGAGCCAGCTCCAACTGCCCAGGAAGCAGGAGTCAGAGCTGCGTGGTGAGGTGGGGGCAGGTATGAAAGGTGCATGTGTGCAATGCGACATCCACCCAGGCACATGACACCTGGCAGCACTTCCTGAGTCTCTTAATGGAGCTGTTGTTGAGGGCTGGGTCCACGGTTTCGGGGGAGGAGATGCAGGTCACAGTTCAGTTTGAATCTGCAGAAACGCACCTGTCAGGGATAACAGAGCCAGGACCGAGAGGCTCGGGACCCCTGAGATGGAGACATATGAGCAGCCACCCAGCAAGCTGGTCCCAGACAGGGTGCTGACAGGGCAAGTGAAGGGCTCCAACCACTGTCCATCCGGGCCCCAGTGAGTCTGCACCATGCGCCACAGCATGGTCGTGGGCTCCTCCCTCTGAACTCGCTGACCTGGGCTTAACCCCAGGAGCCCCCACCAAGCACCTGTCTGGGACAAGCCATTTCGACTCTGAGTCTACCTCCCTCCCTGTAGGTTGGGTTAAAAATAATTCCTATTCAGAAAAAAGGTCAGAGCAGTGGTCATTTGAATGGGATGGGCAACAACTAAGAAGGGAGCACAGGTTTCTGGAGAAAGGGCTGTTCTGTGCCTTATGAAACAGGCTGGGGTGACAGGGAAGACTTTTTCCCCAGGTCCCCTAGACGGTAACTTTGGGGCCACCAAAGCTTCCTGCTGCCCAGAAACCCGAGGGCACAAACATTTCAGCCTTCATAACTTCAGCCCCTCAGGTTTCTTTAAAGGACCAGGAGCCAAGGGGCAGCTTGGTGGTAGGGCACTGGGCTGGCACGCACAGGGTCAGGGTTTGACTCCCAGCACCAAATTTGGGGGACAGGTTATGAGTCTGGACCCAGCTCTCTGGATCCACAAGGCCTGTGGCCACCCTGAGGACCTTGGATGCCACTGCACCCAGCTTCTGGGCAGGCAGAGCTTCATTTGGGGGCTGTGTCTGTGCCTACTGGCAGGACAACCAGCAGCAAGGACGGGGGCTTTCCTAAGAGAGGGAAGGAAGAAAATCTCATCTCAAACACCTGAAATGACCAGGAAAATGATTAACTGGAGCCCTTTGAGCACAACAGCAATTAAAGATAACCTGTACTTACACTTTTCCCTCAAACAGCAGCACAAATGGCCTTCAGTACTAAGCCCAGTGAAGTCTACAGACCATCCTGGGCTCTATTTATTTTTAGACAAACAGAACAATGAACACGTTGCCCATATCCACCCCAAGCCACTTTGTTGCTGTGGACCCGATGTCACTGTTAGCGTTATCACGCTGGCTTACATCCCAAGCATTCCTGAGTGGTTTACATTTAACTCCACGTCACAGCAGTCAGCCATGCTGGGCTCAAAGACAGCAGAGGACACAGAATCCAGCCCTAGGGACAGCCAGTCCTTGGACAGTACCAAGGGTGCACCTGCTGGCACCTCTGCCAAGGCCTGCCTAGCGGGTCCCAGCTGCTCCACCCAGTGGAGAGTCCCAGCTGTGGGGACTGCACTAGGCCTGAGGGCTGTAGGCGCCATGAGTCAACCCAGGGCACACAAGCGTGACACCTAGAATGTGCATAGAATCATTTAAGGATCAAAGAACAAAAGCATTAGGTTTTTGCAAAGCTCTTTCAAAGTGTTCTTCACTGTTGCTCTCTCCTCAGGGTCCAGCACAACAGATGATATGGCTGGAGCCCATGATGTCAGCATGAGCTTTATCAGCTGCCTCCAAGCCTCCTGTTCTGGGGCTAGGATCCTCTGCCTGACACTGAGACAAGCTGTGCTCAGGGTGTCATGGGCCACATGGCTCCCTGTACCGTGAACCCTCACCAACAGGGTTCAGGAGGACCCCAGTTCCTCCTACAGGAATCTCTTTTTTTTCTTTCTTTCTTTCTTTCTTTCTTTCTTTCTTTCTTTCTTTCTTTCTTTCTTTCTTTCTTTCTTTCTTTTCATTGGTAATGGGGATGGAACTCAGGACCTTGTACTTGTGAGGCTGGCAGAGGCACGACTGATCTAAATCCCCAGCCCCTCCTACAGGAATATGAAGAGGCAAAGGGGAAGCCAGGGCTGCTTCCAAGTGGGATGTCTCCTCTGTTAATGACCACAGAAGGCCTCAGTGGCCCTGTGTGGGCAGGGGATGTCCTACCTGTAGGTGATCCTCACTTCTGTGCCAGGCTCATCGCGCTCCCAGATCAAAGCGACACTCTCGGGCGCCTTTCGGACATGCTGGTCCAAGCAGTTGACTGCACAGAAACAGGAGCACAGACAGTAATTGCTGGGCTTTAGAGCAAAGATAGGGAGTCCACTCCCTGAGAGGGTCCCTGCCCTCACCCACAGTTAGGAGAACTCACACTCCTAGAGAGAGAGGGAGATGTGAGAGCCACGACGACAAGCAAGTCACCACACAGACATGGTCTCACAACCAAGAGTACCTAAGGCAGCCATGGTCCCAGTCCTGGCTACCCTTTGGCACCTTTTGGCCCCTCCTCATCCTTGGGCCCCACTGGCCTCCTGCTTCCTGGGATCCAGGGGTCTGTGTGCAGCCAGTACAGGGCAGATAGCTTGGGCCATGATTGTGGACCCATGGGTGGGGTGCCCACCAGGGCCAGGAGCCAAGCCCTCTCCCAGGTGATCAGCTGGCACCCTACCAGCCTCTGCTGCACTGTGGGAAAACACCATCCCAATTTCCCCATCCCCCTCCTGTACCCAAGCTCAAATCACAGGGCTTCTGTAGAAACCGGTCTGTGCTGCCATCTGCTCTAATCCTCACTTACCCGACACCCTGTCTCAATCATGAGATTTCAAGGGAGAGCCCCCTCCAGCCCTGGAAGCTGACACCTATCCACTCCCACCCCTGCCTCCAGGAATTTCGTGGACATGAGCATCGTGGGGAGCTCAGTGCAGTTGCTACCCCATCCCTCAGGGTCACCTCAGTGTCCTGTGTGTAAATCATACCTAAAGTAAGGAATACTCATGGAACTGTGATTCCCAAAGGTTACAGGAAGAGGGGAAAGGGGAAGTCACTAATCAATGGGTATGAAATTTCTGTTATGCAAGAGGATTAAGTATAAAACAGTGTACAGCTTCCATCTCTCTACACACAAACTGTACTGTACACTTTAGAATCTTTTTTTTTTTAAAGTGTAACATGCCAGGCGTGGCAGCGCACGCCTGTAATCCCAGCACTCGGGAGGCTGAGGCAGGAGGATTGCTGTGAGTTCGAGACCAGCCTGGGCTACAGAGTTGAGTTCCAGAGCAGTATGAACTACATAGTGAGACGCTGTCTCAAAAACAAAACAAAACAAAAAAAAGTGTAACAAGGTAAATGCTAACAGGGGAAAATACTAATGCTACTAATTGACACAGGGAATTCCTCCGAAGAACTTGAAAAGAGAAGAAATGATTGGGGGGAGAGGAAACAAACTGACAAAGGACTCAGAGATAGGGTAGGAGGTACATAATTGGTTGGTGTTAGTGCACATGCGTGTGTAAAAGTGTGCAGGTATGAGGAGGTATGTAGGCATGTGGGTGTGCATGTGTATGCATATACAGGTGTGGGATGTGCATGGGGGGTGTTTGTACATTCACGGCTGTGTAAGTGTGCATACGTGCATGTATGTGTACAGCTGTGTACACTCGCCTGGCTGCAAAGGGCTCACACACACCCGACCCTGCACGTGGGACTCGCTGAAGGGCAGCAGGTGCCCAGACATTCTTCGCACTGGAGCATGACAGCCTGAGGTCAGGTGAGCCTCCCTCAGAGCCCAAAGGTCATGTGCTGGGCAGGGGGGCAGAGCAGACCGAGGCAGGGCCCTGCCACAGATGGACACCACCGGGTATGCGGGGAGCAAGGTGCAGCAGCCATGTCCAGGATCCAGGCAGGTCAGCACAGAGCCCTTCCCCATCAAGAGGCTCTGCCAGAGACTCTGGGGAGTCCTCACTCCAGGCACTCTGCACAGTCCCCTTCCAGCCCACACACAGACCCAGCCCACACTTCCAGTGTCCTGGGCCCTACATCTCCCTCTAAGAGCCTGAGATGTCTGGTGCTACCCACATGGCTTCAGACCACCTGTCCAGGTCATGTTGGTGCAGTTGCTCAACCCAGAGCTGGGAGCTGTGGGTCATGGAGGCAGGGACGGCTGGGTCATGTCCTCCAGCTACAGGGTGACATGGGAGTCTAATGGGTCCCAGGTGGCTCCTCTGTGTCCAAGAAGGGAACACACTTTTTCTGGCTTTGGCCCTTAAATAGAAAGCCTCATTTTTTGCCAAAATCAGTGCTTCTCAACCTTGCAGGTGTTAGAACCTCAGAACCTGTCCCAGCCTTGTGCTGTGGCTGTGGCTGCGGGGCCCAAAGGGACTCATCTCTTGGGTCCACACCTGCGCATTCCACTTTGTGAATGCAGTCTGCAATTGTGGCTAAAAATCAGGTCTCCAGCCCAGCCCCGGCTGACCACTCACAGGCAGCAAACAAAGCCCTCTCTTTTAATCCAAACCTCAGCTTCCATCAGTCCAAGGAACCCATTCCTGCCTCTGACCACGCCTGCAAGAACTAGGTGTTTCCCACTGTAGGTTCAGAGGGTGACTCATAAGGGAAACACAAACAGAACAACCCATCTCTGCTCACAGCCACCATAGTATAAGGTGTGCAGGGACAGCAGCCAGAAGCACACGCTGGCTCTTAGCACATACTCAGGGTGTCTGCTATTGTCTGAATCCAGGACGGAAGAAAGGATGGAAAGAAGGAAGCAGGAGGGAAGGAAGGAAATTCTCACATCTCTAAATTTAAAAAGTGCAAAATAAAAACCTCATTCAAAGAGTTGAGAAGTGGGACAAGAAAGTTTGGTTTCCACACATTTCCAAGGAGAGCTGCCCAGGCCCCTCCTGCCTCATGCCTTCCAAGCCTTTCAGAAGCACATGGCTCCCTCCCACCCACTGCACTATGACACTTCCTTCTTCCGCCAGTGGTTCCCCTTCTGGGGCCCACCCATCCTGGGTCATAAGCTCTGAGGACCCTGCAGGGAAGAGGGTGGGATTGCATCACAATGTCCCCCAGCAGCTGTAATGACCTTAAGCGACACACTCAGCTTGATCTGTTCTTTACCGTTAAATGAACATTACAACAGGCCACTCTTTGAGACTAAGCTCTTGCACAGACCTTCTGGGCTCTACCCGCTCCGCTCTGCCCACTGCAACGCTGGGATGAAGCATTACCTAATTCTAGAATGGAGAAATAGAAGCCAGTTGAGATCCTCACACACATGGTTGTGATTCTGTCCTTTGATAATGAACTGAGGAGCCATTCCTCCTCAGAATGAGACCCCATGGCCTTGACAGTTCCTGGGTTACTCACTACTATCCTTATATTGGGCCCTATATTTCCACATCTGCACAGAGGGGCCACCAACCCCTCCCTGTTGGCATCTTGAGAGACGGCTGAGGCCTCTGGGAGCAGAGTGTCACCCCTTGGCCACTGTGCTCTGTCAAGTTGCAGGAGCGCAGGTCTTGCCTGGGCCCACGACCCAGCCTGCAGCAGTTATGCTAATGCCTCTTGGTGGGCCTCAAGTTTTTAGTTTCATTAACAAGAAAAGAATTGCAAGAGTTATGATTTCCATTATAAAGATGGCACATGCTAACACAGGAATTTTCAAGAACTCCTTTTTTATTTTTTTTGGCGGTGCTAATGGAAACCAGGGCCTCCAGCTGGCTAGGCAAGAGCTCTGCCACTGGCCACACCCCCAGCCCTAGCTTACTGGTTGGTTGTTTAAATATATCCCTCACACACAGCCCGCCTGTAAGGGAACCCAGCACACAAAAATACAATCATAATCAAAACAAAACAGGCAGTTAATAGTCACAAAAGGATTCACAATAGCCTTTCTTTAAATAGCAAACCTCGTGGCACATTTTAAGATATGACATCAGTCACAAAATATTGTATTTGCCAACTTTCTAGAAGAGAATGCTATTTAAAGTAAGTCAGGATTCTGATGAAGGAGAAGAATCCAGAGATCCTTCCAGAGGACCCGCCCCCCCGCAAGATTGGAGTCAATTTTCACTTAGAGTTCCTGAAAAACCTTAGACAAGTTGATTCAATCACTGAGAGGAAACAAAGTACTGAGCTTGCGTGTGGCCTCTTGCTGTCATCCGCTTTCTGAATGACTGGAGGCATGCCACAGAGAAGACAGTGACAGTAAAGTGGCCTCCATTCCTGCAGAAATGCCCCAAAAAGCACGGGAAAGGGCTGGGGATGCAGCTCAGTGGTACAGCACTTGCCTAGCCTGTGAGAAACCCTGGGTTCCCCAGCAGAGCAAGAAAGAGAGAAAGGCAAGGGGAGGGGACTCAGTAAGGGCTCAATAGTCAATGCTTGCTTAAATATTTGTTTGCTCTCTTGGTCGAGTAAGAATATGTAATTTTTAAATAACTCAGACTCAAAACTGGAGTTTAGAAAAGAGAGCTTAGCTGTGCTTTGAAAGCAGCACACAGTTTCCCTCCAGTTCTGCATTTACAACTTCCTGACCTCTGGAGTTTTTAATATCTGTCAAGTTTCACAAAGAACAGAGCCAAGTTTCAAGGGCCAGAAAGAATCCTTCAGAACTTAGCTTTCCAGAGAAGCTTCTGCAAAGCAGCAGTGGGACATGCAGCAGAGGCCCTGCCCTGGGCCTGGGACACTGTCACCCACCCCTGGCCATCAAAGCTCAGCTGCAGCTTTGAGGGGTCTGTGCTTCTTCCAAAGCCTGCTTCCCACCCACCCTAGGCCTGTCGGTTCCTATAGAACCCAGCACTGGGCAGGTCAAGGGCCTCCTCAAGTGCTTCATTAATAATTAACACTGGCTGTTGATTGGGCTAAAGTGTGCTCAGGGCTCTACAAGTCTTATCTAATCCCAAGAAGAACCCCATGCTGGGGATGCTGATAACCCCACCCCACTGATAAGATAAGGAAACTGCAAGCAGGTAGCCCTCCCTGTCCAGGCCAGAAGGGACTAACAGGCATACCCTGACCTGTTGGAACTCCCACCCAAGACAGTGCCTGGACCTTGCTGACTTGCTGAGAAAAGCCCTGAACAGTTTTGGGGCCAAATCCTGCGACTCAGTCACCCAGGATGTAATGCTCCATTTTCTGTTACTCTGGTGAATTACCTGAGGTAGATCAGTTCTGGAAGCTCTTGGGCCTGCACTGGGTGATGATCCTGCCAACAAAGTCTCAGGTGGCAAAAGCCATCGCAAGACAGGAGGCAGAGAGTTCATGCTTGTGCTTTTGTGTGTGTTTATGCATGCATGCATGCATTTGCACACACCAATGTGTGTCTTCTGCTCTCTCTCCCCCATCTTTCTACAAAGCCACAGGATCCCACCATGACAGCTGCACCCCATGACCTTACCAAGCTCTAATCACCTCCAGAGTCCTGACCCACAGGACCTGGTGAGGAGTGGGCTTGGGGTGGGTTTATATGTAACAACAGTGACTAGATCAGAACTCAGTATGCATGATCCTTAGTTTATAGACAGGAAACTTGCAAGACAAGCAAACACAAAGCAGGATTTAAAGTAAAAGATGTACCCAGACCTCTGAACTGCACTGTGCTTCAGTGCCACCCCATGCCATGTTTGCTTGGTCTGTGCCATCTCCAGAACATGAATCTTCATGTTGTTTGGCTTGGAAAGGCTTCACTTGCTTTGGTTTGGGGCACAGGCTAGCACTAAAACATGAAGGGCTGGCAACCACTTGTTACTTAGAGACCACAGGTTTGCACCCAGATAATCCTACTGCTGCCGTGGTCTCAGGCCACATTTTGAGAATTGGTCCAGATGTCCCTGAAGGGAGGATGCAAGATGCAAGAAGCCAAGGTCCATGTTCAGCAGACAGACTGAGCCAAGGCTTCTCCAACCTCCACAGCTTTCTAGGGAGCTACCTGCTCCTGTGGCCTGGCCTGTGCCAGATGAGGGGACAGACACCCCAGCTGAGGCAGGACAGCTACCAAAAACTGCTCTGCTACAAGTCAGTTTTCTGAAATTGTACCTGGCTCGGCTCTATCAAGGGAAAGAGGCGGAATTCCCTGCTGCACAAACCAATTCTTGACGTCACTGGTCTTATCAGTTCAACCCTGAAGGAGCCAACTGTGGCCTCCGCCTGCCAGGGAGTCTAAAGGCAGCTCCTAGAGGACCTGCTCTGTGCCCTGACCGTGCTCTGGCCATGCCCTGGCCAGCCCCACTGCACCGGCCCTCAAGGGCACATTCCACCCATTCTGTACACCAAGTGTTTCTCCTTCCCCACTGGTTCAAGGACACTATCTGCTGACTCAATTATAAAGAAAACTCTGATCAGGTGACTCATTTTGATTAAACCTGCAACATAAGGTGCAAAAATCCTTTGACAAACAGACACTGCCTATCGCTTCATGTCAATTTCTTAATATAGCTAATGTTTCTACAGATTGTTGATCCCCAGTGAGCCCTGAGCCAGATCTACACCTCCCACACAGTCCTACAGCCATCCTAAGAGAAGAGCACTGTTGTGGATTTCACAAGAGCCAGACTGAAGATCAGAGAGTAGAGTAGTGGAGACACCACATCCCACCTGACTGTTGCCTTGAGCAGGGCAGGACCTTGTCAGGAAGATCCCTGCCCCAGCCCAGGTTCCTATCCTGATGGCCCAGGGCTGCAGGCCTCCCCAGGACCACCCTGCCTGTCCAGCCTGGGCTGTCTCTTCAGATCCAGGAGAGGGCAAACGCACACCCAGCCCAGATCTGAGCCAAACAGCAGAACTCAGGCTCAGCAGAATCCAAAGGACTAGGGTTCCCTGAAGCTCGTTTCTGTGCTCCTTACCACCACCACCAGGTATGCAGCAGGTGTGGCTGGGGCTGGTCCTCCAGCACTTAGAGCTTTCCTAAAGAGATAACCCACTCTGACCGCTTATGGGGCACTCTCTTCCCCTGGACCCCACAACCACCCCGCTCTCCTTTCAGAGCA